CACCTGTTTGTATGTTTGTATAAATATTAAAATATATATGGCACCTGTTTGTATGTGGACTGCCTTCTGGGGTCATATATGCCCAAGAACCTCTTCTCAATGTCTGGCCTACCCTTCCTTCACATCTGCTAGGTATACACATTCAGGGTTCGTTGAGGTGAATAAGAGAGTTAAGTGTCTTTTGTTAGTAAACCTATTAAGACCAACTGATTGTCTCCATTTTAAACACTAGGGAGGTTCTACAGTTTAATGATTAATTGTTAGCCATAGGAGATTTGGTCATTTGTGGAAAGGAAGCTGTAGTTTGATATGCGGGAGGAAACGTTACGAGCCGACAGTAATGCATTGCAAAGACTATCGAGAATCATGCTGCAACTGGGAGATGGAGCATTAATGACCTGGAAAAGAACAACGTGCTTAGTTTCATGTTGCTTTTCATGGCTGTTGACTGTGGAGTTTTAGTGTTTTCAGCTTTTAGCTTGGAGGCACCTCATAGAATCATTTATTAACATTGTGACCTGCAGGCCCAACCTGTGTAGCCTGTGAATAGGTAACTCACGGCTGCCTGCCATGGATGGCGGGGGTCCCGCTTGCCAGGTCCTACTGCCCGCCACAGCTAAGTGAATTCACACAGGATTCATCTCCAATCAATGTTTCGGTTCAAATTCATTGAAACACGGATTCACGTAATTACAAATTCGCCCGGCAACTTCATTTAAAATGCCGACATTCCTAACGTAAAGCAGTTTTTAATTTAAACGTCTCAGCCTGTTAAACTAAATGTCAGCAGAAAAGATTCCCCATTTAGATTTCTTTGATACTCTGCAGTCTGTGATAATTACAAGATGTGCATCATATTTAATGGGTAGGGCAAAGAAGTTAAAGTAGGCTAAGAAACTAAGACAAATAATTGTAAACTAAATAAAACTAAATTTATGCAAATGATATTAACAGCCCCCTCAACCCTGACCAGTTGGAAGATGAATAGATGGACAGGTGGATGGATATTAACAGTGAGAAACAAATATTTCATGTCTTATTCCTGAATTTAATTCTCAAGGGAATGGTCTGTTGCCTCGACAGTACCTGTTAGCTATGCCAAATTCCATTCATTCTTCCTTTTTAATATACACCACGTTCACAAAGGTTGGGAACACTGTTGGTTACCATTTTTTATTGATATAATTTTTGCGCAAATATACAACCATGTTAAAATCTCAAGTACATTTCCGAACAGGAATTATACAGGCTTCTCCTCAGAGGGAATTAATGTGCAAATTGTGATGAATGCAGTACAAAATAAAATATAGCAGACTGCTATATTTCCAAAAGAGTATTTTAATTGGCACACAAGCTTCAGAAATGATGCTGCAGAGCAGTATTCAATCCCAGTTTTCCCTGCTCCGGCATAAATTTAATTATCTGTTTCTTCCACGTCAATTCTGTAATTACTTGATCAGTTAAGGAGATAAAGGAAGGATAACTTGAAGATTTCATAATTGCCTAAGGTATCCATTGTAATTTACAAATAGGAAAATGTGTGTAATTTGTTTCATTATTGCGGAACTTCTCCACCAGAGTAATTGCAGCTATGTTATCTGAAACATTGTGATTATTTTATGAACGTCTCTGTTTCCATAGCAGAATCTCTGAAGACATCCGGCACTAATGACCTCTGAATTAACAGCAGATACCAAGAGCAGAAAGTAAATCTCTAAATGTATATTCCGTTCCCAATTATTCTTTATCTGATTATGTCCAGTGCTGTGATTTTAAGCTTTCCCTTTGTTCCACTTTTGGCCCTTTCTGTGGTACACTGACAAGGATAAGCATATAGATGGATGATGGATGGATGGAACATAAACCAAACTGATATGTGGTTAAAACAGAGCACCTATGCATGCATCATTAGACAGTGTATCAGAAAATTACATAATTGTCCAGCTGGGTAAATATGCTACACAGTAATGAACATTGCTCCCATTGTATGTCGCATATTATTTTACATAACTGACATATTTTACTGGATACTGTATACGATATATATATCTCAATATTTTTGTCATAAAGTAATAACAAAAACACAGAGTTAGAGCCAAATATCCCTAATGTCACACTGGCACTTTTATTAACAGACAACTATACATGTAAATGACAAAATGGCTAAAAAATAAGCTACTGGCATATATTATTTTACCAACCAGCTCCTCTTTGCTAGCTTGCCTCCTGTCTGTCTGTCTCCATGTTGTCTCTGCATGGAGGACTTGTGAGTGAAGGGGAGGCGCGGGTTCTGTTTGAAGAGGGAGGGGGCGGGGCAGTCCTGCGAGAGCCAGAGAGAGGAGAAGTAGGCGACCTGGTAGCTCTGCGAGTATAATTTTAAAGTAGCGTATGAAAATATATCGATACATCTTAAAAATCAATACATCGCCCAGCCCTAAGTTACACTTAACAAAGAAGACAATTTAAAATATACAATTGGCATTGTATACAGTAGTGTGCTGTGTGATGCACTACAATAGGTTCCCAAGATACGAACCAGTTTCGTTCTGAGAGCGGGTTTGCAAGTCCAACAAATTTAGCCTAGGCATCCAGTTGATGACGCTCCAACCCCCAACTCCTACCGAAGACATGTGAATCCATAGAAAAGTTCCTGAAATGGATGTTATGCATTTAAATTATTTTCTATCAGACACACATTAGACTGGCTCTTTAGAATAAGACAGTTTTGACCTTTCAGTACTCACATGCGTTAAGTGAGATTACAGTACTGCCGTCCTTAAAATGGCTCCAGCTTATTTGAATATTGGCTCCCACATTAGTCGGTTCGGTGCATAAAAAGTTGATCTATTTCTGCTTTTTTCTCCAGAATGCTTTGGACCACAGAATGGTCTAAGGCAAGTAATTTAAGGAAAAACATACAGCCCGTGAACACTTTGAAGGATATAGGAGCACACTTGTCTGGAAGCACAGATAGTTTAACTTCAAAGACTCCTGTGACCGCTAGGTCATAGATATTTGAATTAACTACAAAGACTCCGTTTGAAGGCCATTTGAAATGGGAACGCTCATAATAGCATGTGATTCGTCCATATACACAAATTATCAACCATCCTGTCATCCAGTTTCAATAACTGCTGATCCAGTTCAGATTGTCGGGAATATTTTATTCCATAAGGAAATACCTTTTCTCAGTGTGAATCTGGGCAAAACATTCCGTTTCCAAACCAGCTGAATAACATTCTGCAGCTTCCTCTCATTGATTCCTTGCGCTTTCTAAGGTCGGGGCGAGTGCCAAGGAAGGGCAACCTGGGATGGGTCACTGCATTGTAATGCATTTTGGAGGATCACATGGTCACAGCCAGTGCTAAGAAGCTTCCAGCCAGACTTAGCCATTTCAAATACTCTCCTAAAGGTGCCCCGGTATTCCCAGCAATACACCCACGTATGTTTTGTACTTGGCCAGTGCCCCACCTTGTGTGGCTAACGAATACCTCCTTGTATTAACTAACAAATTAATTGATTGTGCTGGTGGTGAAATTTAACCAAAACATAGAATGGCTGTGGTGCCCCTGAAGAGAGGTTTGGGAACAAAAATGGTGTCCATCTAGCCACCCCTCACACACAAACACACACACACACACACACACAGATAACAAGGGAGGCCAGTACTCCAACTTTTATTGCCCAAAGATTTAGGGACCAACAGACAGCAGAGTGGGCCTAGTGGACAGGGGTCCCTTGACTTGGCACACAACCCCCTCCCCAGACATCCTGCCTTACATACCACTCACCCAACAGACCAACACCCTAAAGAAAGTTTCTTGTAAGTTTGGTTTTTGTATACCCTGTATATTGATGTACTCATGACTACTAGTCTCAATATACAGGGTATACAAAAGCCAAACTACAAAAGTTCAAATCCCATGGTGGACAGAGTGATCCCACCATTGGGCCCTTAAGCATGACCCTTAACCCCAACTGCTCCAGGACTGGCTGACCCTACTGTCCCCTCTACGCCAGTTCCATGAGGTGCTTGTCCAGCTGTCCTGAAGGAGGTCCCACATATATGCTGAGCACTCATTGTTCGCTTTTCCTTCACTCTCTGGTCAAACTCTTCCAAAACCATCTCTGCTGTGTTTAGGTCAGGTGGCCTGGTCATGTGATTTGACACTATCACTCTCCTTTGTAGGTGGCTTGGCATGTCCAAACTTTTGACTGGTACTGTAACTTTAAAAAGCAGAGACTGGATGGCATGCTGTTTCTGCTTTAATCCCACAGTGAAGGACATGCAGTTTAGCTAATTGTGTGTATGTTCCTTATGATAGATTGATGATGTAGGAAGACACAAGACCTAGATCTGTACTGGATGAAAAATTGGAAGATGGATGGGCAAATTTTTGGTTTTAACATAAAAACTGTTGTTTCTTAAATTACATTGCAATAAATCACCCATTAACTCTGCTGCCAAAGTACATATTTGGTGCTTGTAGGGGTTCCTATTTTCCTGGACCATCTCAGCTAACAGGGCAGGGAGAAAAACAGCAAATGAAGCACCTGGACAATCTTAGAAGGATCGTATATTTGCAGATCACAAAAGAAATTTCAGGTTTCTATTTGCAGCTGATACATTGTCAGCAATGGAAAATCGAAGGCCTATGTAAGGACTCTCATCTGCCAAATCTGAAAGCTTTGATACCTGACGCTGAAACCCAGAAAACTCAGTACTGATAACGTCTAATGTTTCTTGTGCAAAAATATAGTGAAACATAAAATCTAATATAAATGAACTGCAGGCAAAGGACGCTTCAGGATACATCAAACTAGAGGTGGCCCCTGGACACCGTTGAGAGGGAAACTGGTTTTATTCTACTGTTAGTAATTAAGGGTCTGTACATGTTCATTAATTAGTTATTCTGTGTGTGGTGTTGGTATTCCTTGCATTTCGATCGGTTACTGTTTTCTGTCTTTGGCTGTTAGCTGATGTGATTTATTTTCTTTAGGCTCCCATGACTCTTTCAGCTTCTACATTGACGAATCCTCCCCAGTTGGACCAGAGCAGCCAGAAACCGTGCAGAACTTTGTCTCTGTGTTTGGGACAGTGGCCAAGAAGCTGATGCGGAAGTGGCTGGCCACCCAGACCATGAATTTCACCAGCCAGCTAGAAGCTGGCATCCGCTTCTTTGACCTACGCATCTCCACCAAACCACGTGACCCCGACAATGAACTTTACTTTGCTCATGGGCTATTCAGCGCCAAGGTGAAGGAAGGGCTGGAGCAGATCAACACCTTCCTGGCGTCTCATGCCCGCGAGGTGGTCTTCCTAGACTTTAACCACTTTTATGGTGTGCAAAACCTCCATCACGAGAAACTGGTGCGGATGCTCCGCGAGGTCTTTGGGGACAAGCTTTGCCCCGCCATCTTTGCTCAGGAGGTGACGCTCCGTTACTTGTGGGAGAAGGAGCTGCAGGTGCTAGTCTTCTACCATAATCCTGTAGCACTGGATGTTCCCTTCCTGTGGCCTGGCCAGATGATGCCTGCCCCCTGGGCCAATACCACCGACCCAGAAAAGCTAATTCAGTTCCTGCAATCTTCTGTCGCTGACCGGAGACGCAAAGGCACCTTCTTTGTCTCCCAGGTTGTCCTCACCCCCAAGGCCAGCACGGTCATGAAGGGTGTGGCCAGCGGCCTGCGGGAGACCATCACTGAGAGGTGAGATGCTTTCTGAGATCAAACCCATGCTCCCCCTCTAACAGGAAGTACAGAAAACCTAGCAAACGGCTAAGGATTAAATGCTATATACTGCCTAGATAAAAAGCAGTGTTTAAGTGGTAATGAAATTCAGCAAGGTTTCACTACTATAAGGCATCTAAAACTGCACATTGGTGCCTGTGTGTTATTTCATTTATTTCTTGTTATTAGGGAAATGGGACGTCGTTTGGGGGTTGATCTGGCATGCTGAAGCCGTCATAGATTTCCAAGCTCTGACGCCAGCTTTAATGCCAGGGAATTTTTGTTGGCTGGTGTATTCATTTATTTCATTTTAGACCCTATTAAAGTGTCGAGTAAGTGTACATGCCAGTCTTTCTGCCTGCAGGCTCTTCTATTTTCAGTTTACGAGGGGATATTTTTGTCTTAAAAGAATAGCATAAATTTTGTGTTTTTCTCTGCTTTGTTAAATGACAGTTGAATATCATTTATATGGAGAGATTATTCTGACTTTATTAAATAAATAAATATACTGTGTAATGTGGCATTAAGTAAATGATAATGACATGAAATTTAAGCATACATGTGAGCATTTCATTGTTTATTTCAGCAGTTCAGCACATGACACAAAATAAGCCTTGAAATGCTCACTTTGCCAATCAAGATACCGAGGTCTCAGTGATTGGTTGAGTGCCAAGAGACCTGCCTCTAGTGGTTGCAGTTTGGAGCAATCAAGCAACAAGCCATAGATGAAACCACAGGTGGTTGTCAGTCCAAGAAAATGCTATTCCAAATTACTTCGCTAAGCAGCTTCCAGGGGTATATTTCCCAAAATCTCCCATTAGCACCTTACATAGTTAGACCCATGCATTTAGCAGCTATGCTTATGGGAACCGTATCCCAGAGTGGCTACATCGCAATCAGATATTCTTGTTTGTAGCCTGCTCCGTTGCAGAAATTTCTTGAAGTTTGCAAACAAATTTTCATCAATGTCTTACTCACAGGGTTGCCACAGGTTGTCAGCGGGCTAGAGTGCGATTTTCAATTCAAGAATAGTGTGAAGAGTTTGCAAACCACTCCAACGTTTTAGATATAGCTAATTTTATAATGGAATAATACAGATTTACCGCAAGATTTTGTGCGTGAGCGTGACCGTCTGAAAGCGCGTGTCATGTCAGATGCACGAGAGTTGGCGACCCTGTACGCAGAAAGAGCTGCTGCCATTGCAGTTTCTATAGCGACAACCTTCCAATTTGCTCTCTGAATTATATTATCGGCAGCATCCATTTCATTTGCAATAAGCATTATTCATACCAATACTAGGTTAATCCGCAGATAAGTGAACCATTCGCGAACCCTGTACATAAATGATTTTCATTTACTTAAGTACAATGTTGGGAAAGCTACTTTTAAGCAGTAGCTTTTCAAGCTATATATACCTACTTATAATTAAAAGTAGCTAAGCTACAAGAAAGCTATTGTTTTAATATACAGTAGTAGTTAGCTACACTATAAGCTACAGAGAAAAAGTAGCTATAACTACATCACATCTGTTTCATCTGGTAATAATATTTGTGCTGTAGGATACTCTTAAAGCAAATTAATATTTCAAATTAGTTTTTTTTTCTAGTGTCTGGAAAGTATTTTTCAACCCTTTAACATCCATCCCCAGAGTATTCAAGCAAAAAACACCTGTAGTATTTTTTTTACCAATGTAGCGTTTTGCCACCCTACATCGCTTTTTGTAAAAAAATAAAATAAAATACTGGAAAAGCTACAGTATTTTAAAAGCAACTGCGCTACTAATAACATACTGAAAGAGTAAAGTTAGTCGCGTTGCTAATTGTAGTTAGCTACCATATGCTCACATATGGTAATTGATAAATTACGCACAGTAAGAGATGACCAACATTAAATACGGTAATGATAAAGTACATTGTACATGTAAGTACAGCTGTATAGTACTGTATAATCTTTCTTGAACGAAAGTGATTCTGACGTTTTAGCCTATTTCAAACGAGATGACAGAGCCATGAACATCATGCTTTTTATAGTCCTCAAAGGGTGAAGGAACAAAGAAGACACAGTTTCCACATTTTTACAGTTTTTATTTTGGACCGCAGTAAACCGCAGATAAGTATATCCGTGGTTACTGAAACCGCAGGTACTGTGGGACTACTGTTCATGCAGTGTGACCATATTGGATTAAACAGGAGCAACTGAGTGAAGATGATCCACCAATCAAAAACCAGTATTCACTAGAGCCCTCCCTCAAAATTTTGATGTGTAAAAGTGAGTTTGCGTTTCAAGGCTTATTTCATATCACATACTTCATTGAAACAAAGATTATTAATTTATTTAACCAATAATACATAATTCAGTGATTAAATAATTTGAAGAAATAAACAATCTTCTTAACAGATTTATATATGCTCAAATTTCATGTTATTTATTAACGCGTTACACAACATTTATTTATACATAATTTTTTATTTTTAAGTCTGAAGAATCCCTTCATTCATTTATGGCAGTTCTGCAATTCGTATTTGAAATCACTTTATTTTTAAACCTACGTCTAAGGGAAAGGTGAGTGGAAGGTGTGGGGAGCTACAGGAGAAGTTGTTTCTGCTGCTGAGCACCGTTCACTGACATGCCACTGCCAGTTTCCACTATATCCAGTTAGCTGTGGAACTGCTTCTGAGTGATGTCTGCACTATTGCCGAGTGAGTCTCTGTGCTGGCCGTGAGTCATCATGCTCGCCCCGCAGGAGGTGAATGCCCACTCAGAAGGCGGTGCCCTCCAAGATAACAACATGGCAGGGACTAACTCTCTACAGAAACTCTCTACAGTTCCCAAACCGCAGTGGTACTTATAACATGGTGCAGGCCTGATATCTTAAACCAGGTGCTCTCCGTCAAACTTCCATAAGCACTTATTCTGTATGGGGTCACAGTGGGTGCGCAGCATATCCCAGACGCACAGACACGCAATCGCACACCGTGGGCAGGTTATAAACACCGATTTGTTTTTGATTGTGGGAGGAAACTAGACCCAGTTGAAACTTCTGCAACATGGGGGAAATACAAAAACTGCAGACATGCACAGGGGAGGCAGGACTAAACCCCCAGGCCTGGATATGTGAAGCAGCTGCACTACACAGTCATTAACTTTGCTTAAATGCTGTGTGTGTCTATGTGTGTGTCTATATATATGTATATATCACCATCTCAAGTGGTCTGGATTTGAAATACCAAACATGGTCCTATTGGGCCATTAAACATAATACATATTTAGGATATGAAATCGACTCACCATATTGAACTGTTACATTTTTCACAGACATATAGAACAATTGTAGCCTTTTGAAAATTAAAATCTCAGTCTCTTTTCTCTGTTTCTTTCATGCAATGTACTAACCTGCTTTTTAAAAAACACTGTATGATCAGAAAAGCTAGTAAAAGTCTTTAGGAAGCAACAATATGAGATGATTGAAGTAAAATCACTGTTACATAGTCTCTTGCAAAATGGCTGTTGGATATTTACAGTAGCTCTTCCATTGGTTGATCCCCTTGAAGTGTCATTGAAACAAAATGGGCCAAATTGACTCGCAGCAGAAGCATTAATGACTGTCTCCGGTAGGGCCCTGCCGAGCATGATGCAGTGGATCCATTCTCAGAGACCCGGCGAAGGCGGTGTAAACATCATTACGGCGGACTTCGTGGAGCTGGGCGAGTTCATCAGCACGGTCATTGCCCTCAACTACCTGCTGGATGAGGAGGACGATAGCGCCACCTGATCAGGGTTCGGTCCCACTGGTGCGTTCACAAGGGGAACTAGAGCTTTTAGGGCTACCCATATATGACTGGGTGGGACTCATGTCTAATGCGACTATTAATTTACCTTTTTCGAGCTGTAACAGAGTTCAATAGCATTGTTTCGTAATCTTTGGGGGAGTGAGCAAAAGAAGTTACTGTGCTCGTGCTTCTTCTCAGCAACATCCGGTACTCCTTTGGTCGTACTTCTGCATCATCTTCTTTTCCGTGTTACTGCTCGCTGAAGCAAGATAAATCAAGTGTACAATGTGCTTGTCCGGCAGGTATTTCAGTGAAGGTTACTGTCTCCCTGCAATGCACACATCGTGAATAATATTGTTATGGCGCAAAAATGCTGAAGTTGTAAAAGTGTTATGAAATGGTCATGAAAAAATGCATTTGTATCATAATGACTGAGGCTACGATATTGATGTTGTTGCGTTAGAACTATCACATGTGAAATGAATACATAAAAAAAAGCTGTGTAATTAGCATTTTTAGAGGTAACCCAGAGGAACATCCCATTGCTAATACTGCTGCAGTAAACGTTATCCTGCATGAGGGTAATGATTTTTTTAATAAAATCTGCTACTTCTTTAACAAATGACAATGATTCTCATGTACCCTACCTTTATATTCATTGAACTCATGAATAGAAGATGCTACATTGTATTGATGACAACCTCAAACCACCCATTAGGTCAGGTTTCCTCTATGTAGCCCCTTCGGTATAGTCTCAGAATATACAAAGGGAATAAATATCAGCGACAAATGTTAGCGGGTGAATTAAATTTACTGCAGCCAGTACCATAGCGGCTGGAGTGTCTTTAAGAATGCCTTAAGTATTTGCTTTTATGTTTTTGCTGGATATATTGAATACCTGCTCAAGTGTTTGGGAAACTGCATATTAAAAACTTAGATTATTAAGCAGAGGTGGAGAGCTGAGGTCTCAAGTAATCTGTAACATTAGATCTGATGCTTTAATGGCTAATCTTAGAAATCTTTAAAAATCACAGTGGGGATTTTACAGGAGCACTCGAGTGTCACTGAAAGCAGACACTGGAGAAAAAAAAACTAATTTGAAATATCTAAGTTACATAATCACTCTTCTGAAAAAAAAAAAACTTAAGTATTAATCTTAAAAAAAGTATATATTCCAGGTATATGTATTAGTATTTTTACATTTTTAGAATTCAGATATCTTTTTTGATTTACCTTTTTGTACTTGTGAAATTCTTTAAAGATGGATTAATTTTCTGTAAAAAAATTAACATTTGTATGCTAAATATATTTTGTACTTATTTAATTTTTGCAAAAAATTACAAGTAATACATGTATGAACTTATGAAATTAACCCATCACCTTTTGCAAATATCTTCCAAGAAAAATAAAATATTTAGTGTTGAAAGTTAAGCTTGAATGAATCTTGTAGACTATATAGTATCATACTCAAGATTGGTCTGGAACAAAACACCACCCATTACGATATCTGAACAGTGAGGTACTTTCTTAGGATGTAACTTCCTTTTTCTGGGAGGACGCCAAACTGCTTTAGGCTTCCCTAGTATATAGGGTACATTTAACTTTTTCTCATTGCAGTGTGATCGTTGGTTTAAAGTATTAAATGTCACAACTTTGTGAAATCAAACGAAAAGGAATAGAATCACTTATCTTTGAAATGACCTTAAGATGTTTGCTGAAATCTGTGTGATTGTAAGTAGCAGATATTACTTGATAGACGTTCTTTACCATTTCTAACATTTCGTAATATGTACTGATAAGTCTTTGAAATAAAAATACAATGCAGTGCAAACAAAAGTACCTTAAAAATACTTTAATTTGTTAAATGTATAGTAAAAAAAATCTATGTAATTGTGTCATTAGAAATGTAGTTTTGTTGTCACTAGAGTAAATATTCTGTGGCTTTCATGAAATTACACATTGTTTCTTCAGGGTGCTTTGGTTACATTCAAATTAGTTCCCCAAGCTATAATACTGCATTTAGTGTCCATATCCTTACAGCTTTCACAATCAAGTAGCATCATTCATGTTTTCTAGTAATAATTTTTTTGTGCACTTTAATGTCTTGCTTACTTATTTTCAACCAGATTATAGAATAATTTTGAATGATTTAAACCTGAATGTCTGGTCTTCTATTAGTAACATTTTGTCTGAACTAATCACTTCACTGATGGAATCTGACAAAGTTAATTCCTCTCGTGAAATTTCTCTGACAAATTAAGAACATTGTTAAATTGATGAATCACCTTTATTGAGATAGGTAAACTCTCCGATTGAATAAACTGTATTCTGACTGATGATAGTACAATTCAAGGACCTTGAGCATGCTGAGGACAATGGCATTCTTATGTTAGATAAATACTGGATCTTATGTTAGATAAATACTGGATCTTATGTTAGATAAATACTATGTGTGAATGTTTTTCCACTTCTGCTTATGTTGAGAAAATGCCTGAAGGGACATAAAAACCAGGACTTAATGACTGTCGTTGACATTTTAAGGCTAGTATAGTTGATTCTCTTCATTTATATGTGCAGTGTGTAAATGTGTGCAATATTGTATATCATCAGATTTTTTTTTTAATTTCTGCTATGATAATATTTCACATTTCATTATTACATCAATTCATGATAAGAAAATGTAAGATATTCTGTAGTTGTGTCTGTAAAATGTTTGTTTTGACAGAAGCTGCCCAGAAATCTGAAGGAAGCTTGAATGAAGCTTGCTCTGTGTAACTGTGGCTGCCTGCCCTCAGAGAATGTGCTCTGTCAGTTCTGTTTCATGTAAAACTCTTAATGTGCACCAAAATGATGCGATTAAATATGTTTGTGTTTAGTGTCTTTGGAGTGTGGTGTTCCCAAATGTTTCTTGTGAGTGTGTGTGTGTGTGTGTGTGTGTGTATATATGTGTACTGTGTAAAGATAAGTGAAGATGATTTAATATTAAAAAACATTTCTTAAACATCATCCTTGTTTTTTTTAATGACGTGAATACCAAAAAGCAACTGGTACTTTTTACATTTAAAGAACCTATGTAAAATTTCAAACTTTGTTGTAATATCATGGCATAGTCATTAACACGCAATGAGTAATTACTAAAGTGTAAAAGGACATGTAGAAAATTATTAGTTCTGGTTTAATCTCAGCTGGTTAAGATGTGGGGGACTACAGCATTCTCAGCTATAGGTTACATTGTAAAAATAATTTCACCCTGGAACTTTGTCATTTACCATTATAGACAGGAATACATTTTCAGTTAGAAAATGAGCATGTACTGTAAATCTCCTGTCACAAAATGTATTCCAGAGGAGGCAGTGTGCAGTATGTGCTCCATTATATCTGGAATACATTTATTGCCTCTATGACCGATGTCCTCAATTAAGTGCTTAGCAAATTTTGGGTTTATATTTCTGTGTAGTAACTCCACAGTTGTAAACATGTTGACATGTTGTAAAAATTGTAACTGGCGCATGTGTGTGTGCGTGTGTGTATGTATGTGTATGTATGTGTATATATATATATATATATATATATATATATAATGCACTCACACACAAACTAACAAGTCAAATGACAAATAAATGCTCTGTGGTTGACAGCTGTGTTTCCACGGGTCTTTATGGGGGTCTTGGTCTTGTTTTACGCTTCAATCAGAGCCGTGTCTCCCAATGACTGTAATGGGCCTGCTCTCATCATTTCCCCTCGCTCATTTACCTGTGGCCAAGCCTTCCAGGCGGTGCTGTCCAGAGGCCACCAGTTAGTTTTCTCCAGATTTTTTGACCCAACACTGCAGCCACACTGCCTTATGGGAAACAAAGCACATCTAAAATGGTAAAATTGCTAATAATGACTGCAAAGGATTGCAGATTTTTTTTTTCTGTCTAGTCAAGGCTATGATGTATGCCTTCTGTGAGAACCCCTGAGGACTGGGCACATGCATTTTAGTACGATGAAATGTCTGTGATCAACAGTGGGATTTTTTTCTATTTGATGCACGCTATGATCTAGCAGTCTGCCTGTTGGGTGCCCTGCTGGAAGATCCGGTCTCATATGCGACGTCTTTTAGCTTGCGCATTTGCGGGAGCCAGGAGCACACTCTAGAACATCTTGCTTTGTTCTCCAACTGTTGCCACGGCAGTGCTTGGAAAACAGAGATACCGCTATCCTTTCTCCTAACACACATAAATGGATATTTGCCGCGTGGAAAAAAAAAATTGAGTTTTACTTCTGTTCTCTATATTGATTTGTATGTGAACACAGAACCTTAAGGTGCCCCTGACTTACTTAATAATGGATGAGAGTGACTGAAGGGTATAAAACATCAAAAAAAAAATATCACACTCTAGGCAGCTGCTTAACTGTTGCTCTCGGCTACATCTGAATGTGATTCCTTTGAGTGGGGGTTCAGTGGACCATTTACTGTTTCACAGCTTCGGTTCAAACTATAAAACATTAAGAATATTGTATAATGAACAAAATATAGTATATAACTAATTAAATGGATTTTCCTTTTTTTCCTCATTTTTTTCAACAAGGGAAAAAATTCACAGGCTTCCCCTTCAATAAATGGCACCCATTTCCACTTTAGACGGTTGGAAACAGTCCTACACCTTTGTTGTGCTTGCTGTGAGCCACTCTGTTTCATTATTTATGTTGCTGGCCTGAGCTGCAGTAGTGTTGCCAGGGAGGTGATGTGACAATGGCAGAGAACCCAGTCGTCTAACCCAATGATTGCTAGACGATTCACATCCTCTGAACCTCCTTGCCGCAGACAGCTTTCCCTGGCACGCTGTAGGGGCCACCTGATTAGAAGGATTTTAATAGTGCTCCAGTTTACATGCAACATTTCACCTGGAATCCAGCTACAAGCGCATATAATAGCCCCACAAAGAACATAATGTGTCTAAAGTACAGGGGGTCCTCGGATTACGACACAGTTCCATTCGTACGACAGTGACGTAACCGGAATTTTGGTGTAAGTTGAAACACACCCTTTTTCTGATCTCTTTACAATGTCTAATTTCACTTCCATCGTGATGGCTTTCCTCTCTCATACGCTGCATTACTGCCGCGCAACCAAACGAGTACGCCCACGTAGGACATAAGTACAACACTAATGGTGTAAACCGAAACATTCATGTCTCAATTTTTGAAAGTTTTTATGGGAGTGAGCGTCATAAACTCGAAACGTCGTATGTCGAGACCCGAAGACCCCCTGTATCTGAAATAACTTAACAGTAAAATCATATGAAAGTAAAGTACTACACCTCCTGTGGCCTGAGCTCATTTTTCTTGTTTATGATTTGTTGTTTACTAGCTATTTTTTTCTTCCTTACAGTCACCTTTGAATTGGAAGCAATGTATTTTCCTGTAAAAATCACTTCGGATAAAATAGCCACATTGAGTTATTAGGCTCCCTGACATCTTACTCTCTGAGAGTAAAAAGCTTTTCAGGGTTCAAGCTGGCAGGCAGAGTGGACCAAACTTTCAGAAATGGTTCTGTTTGAATGGTTTTCTATTGAAACGTTGATTTTCTACTTCAAAAGCTAATTCAGAACATGACACAAAATGGAAAAAAGCATAAAAATCAGCAGACGCGGGTCTGTGATGCGCCGAAGGACACGTGCCAGGCTTTGTCACATGTGAGCTTTCAGACTGATTAGTAATCACTACAGCACTTTGGGTCATTTTTTTTCCACTTTACACGCTGCATGAGACAGTCATACACTGTTACACACAATCGCTTGTTTGTGTACACCTTCTGCTGGGGAAGGGTAAGATGACGATATCAAGGCGATAATAGAGCTTGGACAAGAAGCAGGATAAATAATCTTTGTAGTGAACGAGTTGCCAACGACCAGGAATTAATGGTTTACTTCACAGACCCAATTTAGCTTTTTAATAACAGTAATAAACTTATAATCAAAAGGCTATGTGTTTGCGACCAGGACGTATAGCATATGCAAATTGCCCATGACTCGTAAAAGCAATCAAACTAACAGGGTAAGCTGTGGTAAGAAATACGTGACATCACACTTGACTTTGAAAGAGCATTAAACAATGGTAGGTGCTGCAGAATTACAGCTGGGGTGGGCTTAAGCTCCGAGCTTGATGGGCCGAATGGCCTCCTCTCGTTTGTAAATTTCTTATGTGTTC